TATTTCTTGACTGCATGATGGTGTTAATAAAAATCAATGTTATTAATTCTCACTAAAATAATCAGAACCTCAGGGGACACCCAAGGATGTTAGTTGGTGTGAACTGGTGTTATTCTATTTTCACTGTGTAATTTGGAATTTCAGTTTTACTTGCTGTTCCTCTTCTGATGAATAACTGCCTCATCGAAGGAAATCAATGAATCAATAGTTTTTGCTGGCGACATTACCCAAAAACTTTCCGAGTTGAAAGAACGAAATCGAAAACGACGAAACAAAAAACAACACAGTCCATGTGCAGTATATCGATTCCTAGTTTGATATAAAGGGGTAGTTGACCAAGCGAAGACGCACGGGGGTAAATCAATGGAAAGCGATCTGTAACGTTTTGGGAGGCAGTAGGATGGGGCGTGTCGTGGAGGAAACGTCACACGTTTTCCAGATTTTCCGTAAATATTGCACACGATAACGGTGTTTCCAGGGAAAGCTGCGATTTGGGAAAATGAAACGATACGATATGATACGATGGAGAATACGGGAGTGTGAAAGAGACAATCACAAAGCGTAGTGGTGTATTCATAATCAAAAATGACTTAGGTGAGTAGTAATAGTATTATTTATAATATTGTTTTGATTTTTACGATATACATTGGGCGATGTGATTGTCATCCATCAATGAAAACCAATGTCCTGCTTATTTATAATATTGTAGAATTGCAAATACTAATCTGCTTTGTTTACACTTGTCAACATATGGCAAGAGTTTTTAATTCGAATTTCAGGTATCGTAGGTGGATTCATAAAACATTGATTATCATTACATTATCAATACAATATAAATTATAAAAAATGGAGTTTAGGGAAACAATGACTCTGTTGATAATAAATGCATTGACATCACACCCCTTATCTTTTATAATTATTATAATGTAGTGATACTGTAATTATAATGAATGATTTATGAGAACACATCGTCTCTAAAGAAGTAGTTGATACGAGAACAAACAAACATTATTTTCAAACAATAATCAATTGAAACTCTATACTCAAATGGCATCTTTCATGAAATTGGATTTGAGAAATAGGTACCTCTTTTTGGATGTACATATTTTGATGAATATTCATTCATATTATTCAATATGAGAGGTGAAGTTGAATTTCCATAGATCAAATAGTAATTTACGTATAACTAATCAAAAAAAAACTGTTTCTGGACTTGCGTACGCTATTTTTTTGGCAACCATCTAGAATAACAAATCAATGAGACACATTTCCATATCAAATTTCTTTGTATAATACAATTTCTCCTTTATTAATTCCCATTCGTATCAAATATAGAAATTTGATTAGAATACCTATACCTACTAACTGTTACATGGATTTTTTGAATGTATGATGAATTGACATTCATCATATTATTCTATTCGATTTGAGAGATAATGTTGATTTTCGATTTCAGAGGATTTTGATCTTTCATGCTCCCTTTTTGGATATTCAACAGATGTAATTCAATGTTCGACGTGGCAAATAGCCAGGAAAGTAGTTGTTTTCTGTTGAATATTCAGAATTATATTGTATGCATAATATATCTTTATATGAAGGAGAATGCAAATTCTCTACTTCAGAAGATTTTGTTTTCAAATTCTCATCGTGTGTGTTCCATAGATGTAATTCAATATTCGTCGTGGCATATAGCCAGGAAAGTAGTTGTTTTCTGTTGAATAAACCGTGAAAGAATTGATATTTTCATCACATGGAGAATGCGAATTCTCAATGTATTTCTTTATATATATATCCATTTTGTTGGATTACATGGATATTTTCAAATCCACTATCGCAGCTGCTTTCGATAGTTTATTGCGATAATTGCAACCAAACTTCCAAAAATCAAAATGTCAACTAATTTCATGTCAAATAGCTGTCAGCCGATATTTTGCTGCTATGGTAACTATCATCTGCATTTATCAAAACCATATTTTTACCAAGATTTTCATAGTTACAGTGACAAGAACGATGTGATACCCGGACGGTTGCCGAAATGGGTCTTTTTCCCAGGATGATTTGAAATTTCTCCATGATTGGAAATCAGATGAAATTATTTTCAGTTGATTTCTCTATTTCCTTCGGATCATCTATCTTCGAATGATGAATTGAGTCAGAGAAGTACCATTGACGAGCTGTCCCGTATCTCTGGCAAATAATAGGCCTGTTATAGCCTTGTTTATAGTTGAAATAGTTATTTCATTATTTTGAAGTAGAAACCCAAACTAGTTCACTGTCACAAATTATGTTTTCCTCAGAGCTATGTGATTTTCTAAAATTATTATTAAAATTTCCGATATATCTCATAACATGGAAAACGCGAGACGTCAATCCAATGCCATTCATCTACCGGGTTGTCCATTTTAGACTATCCACCCTCGATATCTCTCAGAAATTTTATTTCACAAAAAAATAACGGAACACATCGATTCTTTTTTTTGGATGGGGACACAGTTTGACGCAAAATAAATAATCCATACTCCAGCACTCCACTCCCCAGAGCAACCCCCTCAATGATTCGAATAGGGAATAGGGGTTGTGCATGTTATACATCATTGCAAAGGTATTTTGATTCTCACACCAGCAGTGTAAAGTTTTTTAAGTTCCAACAAGGCGATCTCGAGATATTCGAGTTCAAATGGTATGTTTTTCAATTGTTAGTAATTGAATGTACGGAATGAATTATAATGAATGGTTATCCAAAGTAAATGTTTAAAACGGAAGTCCCCCAACTCAGTTTACGAATGCAGAAGTTACAGTGGTGGCCTGATACCCTGTATCACCCATTATTACATTTTTGGGGAAACTGGTTCATCCATGTATTTTCGATAAATGCTAACAGTATCACAGTATAACGTCTAAGATAAAAAAAATACGTTTAAAGAAAAATCAATGCTCGTTAAGTATACGTAAGTAGTCCTTTTTCCACACGTCTGAATGGTGGAAATCATTAGGCAAGTGACTATAATGGATTTTCCGATCGTGGGCATGTAAAATCACTCGGGAAACATTATTTCGACAGGAAAGCGTAATAGAAAGCCACGAAACTAATTCAATCCGATAAAGTTATTCGGTCACTATGAATAGTTAAATAGACATTTTCGAACAAATTGTCACATGAAATCATATGATCTGTTTGTAGTGATTGTATGCTTCTTAATTATGTAATTAAACTCAAACACATGGCAGATATTTCTGGTGATTCATTGTTCATTAGGAACTTGCACAAACAGTGTGATTCAATTCGCTTCACGCCATTCAGGACTATAATAGTTGACGCTTCATTCGTTTTTATTTTCCAAAATTTTTGGCGAGAAGACTCAGCAACATTTTCTGACGAATTTCTCGTTATGCACAGATATTATTGTTATTCTAGCTTAGTTCCTTCATTATATAAAATTCACATATCCCAAATTACTAGAAGGAAATAATTTGAACAAATTCATTATGTGGTGTGAACCAGTTGAGCTTTCTCCATTCCAAGACTATGAAATAAAAAAAACGGATATCAAATACGGTTCCAATTCAAATTCGGCTTCAAAATTAGCAGTTTTGAGTTTTTATTTGAACTGGAATAACCAAGTTCGTGAGCTTATTCAAAATACTGAAAGTGCCGCGAATACGAGACTTTTGTGGTGCCACATCAGAACTTCACTACAAAAATGGAGACAAACTTCAAATCCCTTCATTTGGATTCAACAATAAAAAAAACACACCATCACATCAGCTGATACCATTTTTGGTGTTCATTGTTTCGAATTCTGCATTCCCTGCACCATAGGAGGGTCTTATATATTGTATGACAAAAAAAATAATATGGCGCTATTGGTAGTACTAGTTTTCAACTATTTGTTATTTCTAATGAATTAATTTATCAGAACCTCTATAAAATGCCACCCCATAGTGTAATTTCTCACCACATGATGATAATTGACACGTACTTTGCACTATTTTATCACATTTCTAGACAAAATCGAAATAGCTTTGGTTGGTAATCAAGAAATGATTCCATAGTAGTGCTGGCTCTGAAATCTAGTCGATTGAAAGCACACCCAGACATTTTTTCCTGTGTATACCAATAATTATTTGTTTAACTAGGCAGCAAAGTAGTAGATTGACTGCCACGTAGCGACGCTAGGATTTCAGCCAACGCAGTGAACCTTTTTTCTTCAAATGTTTTAATATCAATTATGTGTAATTTTTTTATTGAAAAACTCCATCATTTTGTTTTCATCCAATGTCAGTATCAATTTCAAATACCAGTTTCATTCAAATTACTTAGATCCGTGCATAGCAACAAACTTTTCCTGCCTAAGCAGAGAATAGTAGATACATTACACATCAAGAGACAGAAATGCCTGATTTTTTCCAAGGTGCGATACAAAGCACTGCGAGAAAAATATCATTTTGTGCTGAGGTGTTTATACTATTTTTTACGCTGACGAGAACACAAAAATTAAGAAAGAATAAAAATTTGGTCAAAGTGTTTTATCATAATTTTTAGTAGTCTAGTTGACAAACCATGGTACGATGACATGGTGACAGCAAACATCAAACTGAAATTCATGAAAATAGCTTTGAAAATGGTTAACGGTCATGAAACAAGAAATTGAGGGAAAACCCCAAGAAGCTATTAATACTGCTTTTGCAGTGATTCTTAACTTGCTACCAGTGAGATTTAGAAATTTGTATGATGCAGCTTATACTCGCTTTAGAGAAGGGTGTTCCGGAGAGAAAGCGCAGAGCTATACGGAGAATGTGAAGTTGGAATAAACTCCCTAGGGAGAAAATATGTCACATTATCTCCCTAGGGAATAATACGAGACTTTTGCCCCACCTTTCGGCTTTCCTGCCTCTTTAGTGTCAGAGAAAGCCACTTCCTATGCCGCTTGGACAAAAAATGTATTAAAAAATTCTAGCCTTAAGGCTAATGAACTGTTTACTCTTTACAGTATACCATAATGGAAGCAGCTGTGATCCTATCAAGGATCCACTCGTCGAAGATCGTCCCTTACAAAACGAACTTCCTCACTACCAGAGCCAAAATTCGGTACAAGGTCAGCATGGACACCAACCTCACCCACTCCGTATCCGATTTGGGCACAGCGAAATCCAACTACAGCCTAGCAGGCGACACTAACGCCACCTTTTGGAACCGCACCGACATCTTGCGCAATCTGACCAACGTCGCTGATTTCGAATACGACTATCAGATGACCAATGGCACTGTCGAGGACGATTCTGCTTGGAGCAGCTGCAAAGAATGGACGCCAGCCCAGCACAGTCTCTTCCAGATGGCAAACTTTTTCTTCGCTGCAGCTTTCTTGGTGCCGGGAAGTTTCAAACAGAGTGTTCTTCTAGTCAGGTGGGTTGCTGACAACTCACAACCATGAAGTCATGTCTTTGAATCCCAGATTGGGCAAGGGTCGGTTTCAGTGAAAAATTGTATTTCATCATTTCGAAGTTCTAACCCTAAGTAGCTCACTGTCGCAAACCGTTTTTTGCTCAGAGCTCTGTAACTTTTTTGAATAATTATTGGAATTCCTGATATTTCATAACATGAAAAACGCGGGAAAAACAGAGCACCAATACACAACTGAAGAATCAGATAATATGAGGATTATCTTTGAATATTCGCATTTTGACTAGATGAAACGAGGATTTGACGATGAAGGTGACAGCCGATATTAACGTCAGGAAGTAAGGTTGACAATGTATAGTTTGTCTTCTTCTGTTGTCTGTCTGTTGACCGTGCTCCAAAATGATTGGGGATTAAATAAAATCTGATAACGTAATTTCAGAAGACATCATCAATGAAGACCTGAACGAAGTTAAAAAATGGTGCGACGCCAACTTATTGTCTTTCAACACCTCTAAGACAGGTATAATCAACTTTAAGAGCGTTATCAACAATGTATTTCTCGATAATGAATGTTTTAGCATCAAAGCTACACATAAATTCTTGAGATTGAATATTGACGCCAAACTAAAATTTGAAGAGCGTCTGGCTGTTATGCCGTACGAGTTACATCTAATGAATTAGGTCTAACTGCGGCAAAGAACGCTTACTACTCACTCATTGAATCGCACCTACCCTATGGTATTTGCTTCTGGGACATGTGCGCAAACTATCAATTCGTTAGAGTTTTTATTCTCCAAAAAAGAGCCCTAAGATATATGTGCGAAGCCGATTCGGGGGATTCATGTAGACCTTTATTTTTGGTTTATAGAATACTACCACTGGCCTACATTTTGGAAACCGTATTTTATAGGGGCTAGATGCAGGCTAGATATTGATCCTAAACAAGTTTTGACACATTGAACTCACTCTTCAGAAAATTATTTTTTTCAAAATTTTAATGTCTAGATAGGGGCTTACTTAACTTTCCAAACTAAAATTATAACTGAAATTAGTCTTTCATACAGCAGGGTTGATACAATCCCATTTCATGAAAATAATGAGAATTTTTAATATCAGATTATTGTTATTATTGTTGTCTGTTCTGTAACGAACTATTATGAGAAAACTCTATTCCAAATGAAACTTAAGAGTCAACCAATCTCGTAAATGTTGACGACATTGAAAGACGATGAAAAGAACACCGGTTTCTACCGGTTTGTCTGGATTGATTAAACATCATTTGAATACTTTATTAATCGAGTAGACTAGGAATGATCGATATGTGTAAAATGGCGTGGCTATGGAGGTGCGAAATTGCTGCCAGACCAACCGAGTCAATATGGGCGTTAATTAATTTTGAGCACGAGAATCGGTCTATTGTGTGTTGTGTGATATGTCTTTTGTTATGAAAATATTTACATGAAGTTCGTAACTGGTTTTTTGTATCGCGTACCTAATTCATATACCTGAAAAGTTTGTCGATATAATACGATTCATCTTCCAAATCATCAATCTTGAAAAGGTCTGTTGAAATAATGAATAATATGAAGTATCCAATCTAGTCCGCTAGATCGTTTGGTTTGGCAATGTATTATTTGGAACATGAATATACTTCGCAGGAATTTTAGGACGAGACACATTACCAATCCTTCAGTTCAACAATTATGTAGGTACAATATTCCCTATTTCTATGTAGGTCTTGGTAATTTGAATTTCTCATGGAGGGTAAAAATCACTGTTACTATTCTTCAAGTCTTTGGCTGAGGTATCTGAACATTTTCTGAAACTATTTTTTCTTCCAGGGCTCTCTTATCAATGGGATATTTCTTCCTGACGATATGGGGTGGTGTAGAAGTATGCGCTCCCGATATTTTACTGTGGAACTTGACGATAGTCGTGTTGAACGCAGGTCAAACAGCCCTTCTGACTTGGAAGTTTCTTCCGCCGACGTTAACTTTAGAGTTGACCGAGTTATATCTCAAAGTAGGTAACAATAGATATTCCGTATCATAGGTCGAATAAGTTGGCGGTCGGTTTCTGATTTTTCCATAATTTCATTAATTTTCCTCATCCCGTATGTAGATCTTTGATCAGGAATAATGTCGTTACTTTCAGTCATGTTGGTAATCAAAATGGAAAATTTTTCACTGAGAAATAAAATGTATCAATATAAAATGTTTCAGCTCTCGAGATCTCGACCTAAATTTATGGTAAATTGATGAAAATAAACGTTATATGAGGAGAGCAGCTTTGAACTTCGGCATCTTTTTACAATATTTCTGTTTTTTATAGCAAAACCACAACCATATAATATTATGACATTCATATTTTGGTTTATTTCTTTGCATTCATTGATCAATTTATCATATTGAACACTCCCTCTATGGGTTAATTTAGGAGGTTAATGTTAATTGAGAAAGATCGGTGCAACCAGTAATACCAGCTCCAATGCCAATGAATCATAAATTATTATTTAGACCACGCCTCTTATCAGATCCAAGCTTACCCCCACTCAAAGAAAGTATGTCCCAAAATAATCGACCTAGAATCTCCACAGCTCATCTACTAATGCACGTTCAACCAGATCTACTTAGTTTCGCAAATAGATCTATCATTTATTCCTATTTCAACAATTTTGTAGGTGTTCAAACCATTGAGGATAAGTAAAAAGCACTTCAAGGAACTAGTTAAGGATGCGAAAGTGATGAACCTGGAGGAAGGTGACATCTACGCCGTAGAGGAAGTTAGCCCTGCTGACGAGAGACTCTCAATTCTGCTCAGGGGCAAGTACGTATTTGAAACTCCTATAAACCTGATTCAATGTTCACATTGGCCAAACAGGTAGACAATTCAACCAACGAATTCATGAACATCAAATAATTCTTTTCAATTTAACAATTTCAACTAACGCTGACCATATATAAAAAGAATTAGAGATGACGATTCCGACAATCTTAACGTTAATTTGTCTGTGTATAGGTTGAGGGTGACTTGCGACGACACCCACTTACACTTCATCAGCACCTACCAGTTCGTGGACTCGCCCGAATGGGAGGCCAATCACGAGCAATCAGACGACGTGTTCCAAGTGACGATCGCTGCAGAAGAGGATAGCGTCTACTTGTGCTGGTCGAGGATGAAGCTAGAGCGCGTGCTGAGGCACAGGCCCATGTTGAAGACAGTTTTCGATTCCATCATAGGTGAGTTTCTGTGCCATGAGCTCTGGAAATTATGATCCTAGACAATTAGATCCACCACTGGAGGAGAGGTGAGTTTTCGTACCATAATATCTGGAACAGTTATGGTCCTTAGGCAAAGGCCGATGTTGAAAACAGTCTTCGAATCTATCATAGGTGAATTTTGTGCCACGAGCTCTGGAAAAGCTGATCCTACAAAATCAGGTCCACCACTGGAGGAGAAGTGAGTTTAGTCCCATAATCTCTGATGGAGTAATGGCCCTAGGGATGCAAACTTGATCTACTCTGAGGAAAAAAATACTTTTGAGTCGATGATCAAAAACTCTGCTAATATAAGGACTGAAAGAGCTGGACCTAAAACGTCAAGAAGATCTACCTACCTCTGAATAGATGACGTGAAGTTCGAAAATTCTGAATACTCCAGTCGGTCTCTGATTCCATCATGGGTGAGTTATATGTGCCACGAGCTCTAGAAAAGCGGATCCACAATGGATGGAAGATGAGTTTTCGTACCATAATCTCTGGAAGAGTTATGCTTTCAGGAATGCGAACAAGATCTATACACCTGAGGAAGTAATTAGTATTTTAGTTGATGATCAAATGCTCCTAAATTCTTCATAGGTGATTCTGCGTATGATAATCTCTGGAAAAACTGGGCCTAAACATGCCAACCAAATTCAACTTCTGAAAAAGAAGTAATGGTTAAGTTGAAGTTCAACAACGAAATGCTCCTATCTCTGATTCTACCAAAAGTGAGTTTTGTGGCATATATTCTCCGGAGTATTTGGTCCTGGTTATCAACCAAGAGTTGAAGCTAAAGATTAAATGACTGCAGAAACCAAAGGTTAACTTTTGAATGTTCTTGTTGATCTTTACAGTCATCATTGAATAGTTTTCGTACCATAATCTCTGAAAGAATTGGTCTTAGCAATGAGATTCTCGAATCCCGATCCACTTCTAAGGAAGAAGTGACTATTTGTATAACCGCTGGAAAACTGAAGTGATTATCCGTATCATAATATCTGGAAGAATTGGTCTCGAACATGCCAATGAGATCTTCCTTTGAAGAAGAAGTGACTGATTGAGTTGTACCAGTCTAGGCAAGTTTTTGTACCATAGTCTGGAAGAGTGGCAATCAGAACCCAAATTCACCTTTGACTGGTTACATCACGTTAGAGCTCAAAATCTCCAGACGTTGACAAACAGATTCAAGATACCAAAAAGAGTACCCGATGATTCATTAGGTGATTATGTTGAGAATCATTAACATTCCATGGAAACGGGAATGCACTAAGCAGAGATGAAAAAAATACTCTAGGAAGTCATTGATGATAATGAAGTTGATGTTTGGTTTCAGGCTCCACAATCTTTGAAAAGCCACAGAGTTTCAGTGGACTAAAAGCACATATCACAGCTCTACTTGCTGAAATGGTAACAGTCACTATATTTTTATGGTTATGGTTATGGTTATGGTTACTCTTTACACTCCCATAGATTTTGATATTTGTTGTTAGGGTGTAGTATCATTGGCTTCTGGCAAATCTGGTGAAAAATCATCACTGTGTGAAACTTCTCAAGTTAAACGTGAACACCACCGATGAGATGTTGGAGGATAGGAGGGTTGCTTTATTGATCTTGATTAAAGGGTGGTAACCAACTTTTTTTCATTTATTTCAGGCAAGGATATAACGCAAAAGCTGTACGCACTCAACGAACACCTGAGCGGACTGAGCGAAGAGAGAGAAAGAGGACAGAGAAAAATGTGGGCAAAAACCAATAGCCGCAGCATGTCGATGGACGCAGTCAATACCGGTACCACCGGGTTAGTACGCTCCCAAGCCTATAGAACGAACCACAAGAATCCAGACCGTAAGTGTTTTCTAAAATTAACTGAAAGTTTGCGTAGATTTTCTACCAGAAGAACGTTTGGGATCAACCAATTTCAAATATAAGGCGAACCTTTCTCAAAACCTCAATTCGAATTATTATTATTATCTCGTGGGTGATGCCTCGCTCATAAACGCACTCACTTCTCTGGAACATTCGATCGAGTCTGGCACCACGGACTCCTCGCCAAGCTTCCATCTTATGGCTTGCCTCCCCAGCTATGTTCTCTGCTAGCTAGTTTTCTCACAAACAGGTATCTTCATGTATTGGTCGATACTGGTGTTCAGCAAGGATCAATTATAGCACCAACACCAACACTATTTCTACTCCATATCAACGATTTGTTGGAAGCAACTTCATGTCCAGTACACAGCTTCGCGGATGATAGTACCCTCCATACCGCCTTCTCTACCAGGGCTCCAATACCAGCCAGGCATATCAGAAACGAACGAGGGAGAAATGTTGACAACATAAATATGGACTTGGCAACAATTCTAGAATGGGGATCCAATAACTTGGTAGATTTCAATGCAAACAAAACACAAGCATGCCTTTTCTTTAGGAAAGCCGATCACACTGTGCCCAACATAAGCCTGTCAGGAGTAACCATACCTTAGAAGACATCCATTTCGATGCTTGGTATCACTATCAGCAATAACCCTTCTTGGGAAAATCACGTGAGATCAATTGCTAAAAGTGCATTACAAAAACTTGGTTTTCTGTTTCGGCCAGGAGCTATTTTACTTCCAGTCAGCTGCTTATGATCTATAAGGCACAGATCCGACCTGTCCTGGAATACTGTTCCCACATTTGGAGTGCAGCACCCAAACATACCCTGAAACTGTTGGATTCTGTCCAAAAAAGGGCAATTCGTCTCGTGGGTGATGGCTCGCTCACAAACTCACTCACTTCTCTGGAACACCGTAGACAAGTTGGCGATCTGGCTCTATTTTATATATATTTCCATGGACGATGCTCTTCTGAAATAATTCAACAGTTGTTCGTCCCTTGGCAGTCCCCGCGAGATTAACCCGTCGAGTTGAGGCATCGCACCCCCTTCGTGGTCATTTTGGAGACCAGCAGATCATCTATTTCCAAAGACTCGTTCATCCAACGAACAGCGAGGCTCTGGACCACATTGCCAAGAGAGGTGTTTCCCGAGGCATATATCCAGAAATTTAAGGAGAACACCAATTCCTATTTTATTTCCCTTGGTTCTCACGATGTTCTCTGAACATTACAGGACCCTTTTCGTGGGAACCAAAACATAAAAAATGTATTATTTCAATTCGAAAGTGTTTGATCCCAATTCGAATAAGCTTATTATCAATTCGGATGTCTTCCATGTAGGAATGATAATTCTCAACTTGAAAGTGTTTAATACAAATTCAGAAGTGATCATTTTAATTTGAAATCGCTTGATCTCAATTAATGAGTGACTCCCAATTTGGAAGCGTTCAATCTTAATTCATGACTGATTATTAACTCAATTTGAATTTATGTATCCCCAATCTGGATGTTATCCATCCCAGATAGCACAATGTCATTCATAGAACGTTCATAGGATATTCTTCGAGAATATTTGAGCATCCTTAGAATATTCTCAAAATATGATACAAATATTCTAGGGATGTTTTTTGAACATTCGAAACGAGCTGTTTTGAATATTCCAAGAATATTTCTAGTATATTGAAGGAGAAGGAAAAAAATTAAAAAAGTTTGCTCTGGTGGGGATGCGAATTGCGATATGATTGAATTTTTACGTACCTGAAACCTTTACCACTTCGCCACGAACCTTATTGATGAATAAAATGGATAGCAGCGAGATTGAGGCTAGAGAATAATAGGTTATGTCAGGGTTAACATTATGAATATTGATACAAGAATATGAACATCAATATCCTTCATCTTGATACGATTCTAAATATTCTCAGAATATTCAAAAATAATATCCTCAGAATGTTCATAGAATATTCGCTGCAGAATGAGAATATTCTATGATCATTCTAAGAACATTCTATAAGAACATTCCAAAATAAGTATATTTGAACATTGTCAGAAAATTCATAGAATATTCTGTGCTACCTGGGATCATTCTCTGTCATCTTCCCCCCACAGGCGCTTCCGGAAAACCCGACCCCCAATGCTGGGTGCCCCTGGTGGCGAAGCAGTTTCCCGCCAAGTCGCCCTTCAACCCCGCCAGCGTCGCAACGCCCGGCGTCGTCCGTCTCCCGGAAGTGCACGGGGCGGGGGGCAGCGCGAGTGGCAGTGCGGTGGTGGGGGGAGCAGGAGGGGCAGGAGGGGCAGTCCTGCAGAGGACGCGTTCATCGAGACGCTCGAATCGCGAGGTTAAGTTTGAGAGCAACAAGTGAGCGTGAAGGAAAGAGAGAGAGAGAGAGAGGGGGATAAAGATAGAGAGAGAGCGAGAGAGCAAGAGAGAGAGAGAGAGAGAAAGAGAGAGAGCGAGAGAGAGGGACAGAGAGATGGACGCAGATAGAGTGGCTTTATAAATAGAGTGACGACAATAGAGGTTCACTCTTTGATTGATCGGACCTTTGATTTGGACATGCATCCACCTGTCTTGGTTTCTATCCATTCAGTTCTACGCATTTTATTTCACTTTGCCGATACTCTGTCTCTGTTTTTTGCTTTTTGGACACAAAACATTCAACAATCAGACATGAAACTCTACGTCGATATACAGGGTGTTTCGAAAAAACCTAACCCCTTGATAGGGTAGGTAGAACACTGCAAAATAAGTTGGGTTTGTTCAGTAAAAAAATGTCGTAACGGCATTCGTTTTCAAGATACAAGGTAATGAACAAATATTTTTTTTAAACATTTTTTTACTATTATGTCGAAACTACTGGCATAACATTATGATGAAATTTTGTATGGATGTGTTTCGGTACGAACCGTGTACCCATACAACACGGGATATCCTATGGACGTCCAAATCATGTCCAATTCATGTCGGGATATCCTTGGACCTTTTTGGATATCCATAGGATATCCAAAATTCACCCGCGCGGATATAATCAATGTAATAAATTGTGAATATGAATTAAATTGATGAAAATTCAAATCTATGTGTGTACATAGTTATATTACTAGGAAATATATAATATATCGAATATGGAATTTTTCAACGTCTTCTTGGATATCCAATGGATATCCATGGGATATCCTGTATTGGAGCATTGAACCACGTCGTTGAACAATAACGCCCAGAATAACATAGAGATGTCGACAAAGTCGGCAGTGTCGCACTCACCAAACATATTTTGGATTTCCATGTGGGTCCCATATATTTAATAACAACTATATGGGTAACGTCCTATCCTTTCCTTGTTCAAAACCTAACCTAACCTGTATTTTATTGCATTTCACGATTCTCCCTGAAGAGCTGATTTGATCGATGTATCACACTTGGGGTCTAGCAGAAATGATTACAGAGATATTGTAGGTGAACTTCAGGAATGTTTTGTGTCGAAACTATTCGTTATTGGTCAAAACGGCTTTTATGTCCCTATCTCAACTCTTGATTTACTATCTACTGACATTTAATTGAAACAAATACAGGGTAATTCAGAATTCTGCACAACCCTGTATCTGTTTAAATTGAATATCAATTGATAGTAAATGAAAAGTTAAGATATATGTATAGGTATATGAAATCCGTTTTGAGCAATAATGAATAGTTTCGACACAAAAAATTCCTGAATAAGTTGAGAAATCTCGATTTTTCACCTACAAGACCCCAAGTGCGTGAAACATCGATCAAATAAGCTCTTCAGGGAGAATCATGAAATGCAATAAAATACAGGTGTTTTCATTCGAAAAAACTGTCAACTCAGATTTTTCTCGAATACGTATCATCCTGTCTGAGGCTTTTTCGCAAACATTGTATCACAGAGATATAGAATTTATGCGTTATACTTCTATGGACGCACTGTATACATTATATTAAGTTATTTGTCCCTTCCCACAATAAAGGATTTAATTTTTTTTGTGATCAATATATTGCAGGTATAATGTTTAATTTCATTCTTTATTAAATATTATTATTATAATTATTGTTCATTATCATACCCAGTGAACCATTATCATAATATTTCAAACCATGAAATCAAATCATGGACATCCGAATGTCATCTGGAAATTAATTCAGGGATTATGGAAATGGACATCTAAATAGTATCCAAAGGATATCCTATGGACGACCAATGGATATCCTAGTCCGCCAACCTGGATGTCCATAGGATATCCTATATGAACACCCATGAAAACATAAGGGATATCTTATGGACGTCCATGAAGGATATCGTATGGACGTTCTTGAACGATGTTCTATGGACGTCATTGAAGGATATTTTATGGACGTCCGTGAAGGATATCCTATGGACGTACAAGTTGGTGGCCTCAGGACATCCATTGGACGTCCATGGGATATCCATTGGACGTTATTTGGATGTCCATTGGATATCCAAAATATCCTGAATGGATATCCTATGGACATCCATCGGATGTCCATGTGTTGTATGGGTAACTAGCGCCATCTATGAGAGTCAGATAGAAAAACAAATTCATGCCATGTGTCAGATTCCAAAAAACATCCATAAAAGATTTCATTACAATGTTTCCAGTAGTTTCGACATAATCTTAAAAAATGTGTAAAAAAACATTTTTTCAACACCTTGTATCTTGAAAACGGATGCCGTTACGACATTTTTTCACTGAGCAAATTCAACTTATTTTGCATTGTTCTACCTACTCAAGGGGGTCAGGTTCTATGAATATTCTCGCAAAACATTCTATGAACATTCAGAACATCCTCATCATATTCTACCAACGTTCTTCGGTCGGAATATTCTGAAGGAAGTATTTTGTGAACGTTGTGATTATACATTCATTGAATATATTCTGTGCTGTCTGGGTGAATGAATAAAGGGCTCATAGTCAATGCAAGTCTCAAGTTTCTCTCGCTTTCTTCAACTTTCTCAAAGTCAAAAGTTCATTTTTGCAGTTTTTGCTACGATAGCTGATAACTTGGCGATAAACAAAGATTGAGTCGTTTTGTATGACCGACCAAACTAGAAGTAAAGAATCAATCTAAATATGTATTTTAAGGAATTTTGTAAAATATGTTGATCGAATCACCTGAAGAAGCTACTGTGTTACTAAATGTCGTATAAGTATATAATGTGGAAATGTTTTCGTCAAATCGTCACCGGTAAAATTTAAACGGATTCCTGAAATCATCATTCCCTTCTTCTGCTGATACAGCTTATTTTTATGGACAAATGTATATATTTTGAACAAAAAATATCTAACACCACAGAGAGTTTTTTGTCCTCATATTTTTTTTTACATAGAATTGTTTCTATCTGAACTGGTGTGAGGTGTAAAATGCACTGATGACTGATGATAATATGAGTATTCATACCTCGATTCATACTTTATAAAGGTACATTATATTATTGTTCATCACTAGAATTTTGCACAAGAAAATCGCTGTAATTTTATAGTGATGTAGGTAGATGGTTTCAGTATAGGGTGGTTCATCTGTGATTAATTTTAAAGTGACTCTCAACCGTGGATCTGTTTTATCCATTTCGAATATAGCAGAGGTACTCACTAAGCTGGGTGAACCTAGATCAGTGAAGTTACAACTACACAAAAAGTTATATGAAAAAAATATCTGAGTGGTCAGAATGAGTTTATTTTACTTTCCCTAAAGTGGTTCAAATTGTCGAGGAATACTTTTAATTCGTGTCAAAGAACGTTGAGAAATCAAAAGAAAATGTATTAATCAACACCTGCCTATAAATTAGCTTGTTTGTTCATTTGCGATAGGTATATATGTAATAAAAGTAGGTATCTATATATTTTTTATTTGTGATTATATTTATATATTATATCTAGACCTCTACTTCCCATTTAATAATTCTGCTCATCACTCTTTCATTTCATATCAGAAACAAGGAAAACACAGTTATATCACATAAAATATATATTTGCTGTCATGAATATTAATAAGTTCTGTAAGCATATTTCATACATATAGAAATATATTTCCACAAAACATGACTTCCAAAACTGAAAACCCTCTGTATCGTAATAAAATTAGATTGTAAACTTACCCTCGTGCTCCACTCTTGTCTTGTATATACATATACTCATATTCAACAAATGTTATTATGGATATTGTATATTATTGTGTATTGATGTTTATGTACATATTATTATACCTATTTATATTTGTATGTTTATATTCGTCGTGTATAGTAGTTCCACATAAATTAAACAGATTTTTCGAAAATAAATGTTATATGTTTCTGTGTCCACACGACCCTGTGAAATCTATACATATACATATACATAACATATAGGTAACAATGCGATATAACAAATGTTCCATCGCTGCGATGTTCATAAGCAAACAGATTTGTGCCATGACACATCTCACTGAGATGTTGCGATGTGGCAACACTACGATTTTTCGACTGTTCCATCGCTGCGATGTACAGAAACAAACATGTCTGCAACGTGACATCCCTGAGATATCGCAATGAGGCAGCACTGCGATATCACGAATATTCCATCGCCGCGATGTACAGAAGCATACACATCTTCTGCGACATGACTTCTCTAAGATGTGATGATGAGGCAGCAATGCGATATCACGAATGTTGCATCGCTGCGATGTACAGAAACAAACTCTCAATCTTTCTAAAAATTGTTATTCAGATTAATGTTCGGTGGAAAAGAATTCATGAATATGCGTTCTCGTTTCCAGTGGAAATGAATGAATTGAAAAGTAAAATCGAGAAGAAGAAGAAGGAAACTTGCTGTGTTCCGACACCAAAAGAAATGAGAAGTAAGAAGAAATAACAAATGAAAATAACCTAAAAACTATGGTTATCGTCGTGCTTTGGTTGATCTTAGGTTGAGGCTTTTGTGATTCTTTGATCGAGTTTATTTTGGAGTTTATTTAGAGATTACAAATGAATTCACACGAAGGAACTTCCATAAATAACAGAAGGAATCGGTTTACTGATAAGAACAGGTCAAGAGGATTCAAACATGGTGGCAAAGGCAAACCTTTTAACAGAAACTACAAGAAGAAAGAATACAGACATTCTGAGCAATTGTCTGAAGAAGATGTAGGAATCAATGAGTATCTCAATGACTCAGAAGGCTTCACTGGCATTATAAAAGCAAGATATTCTGATTTCCAAGTTAATGAAATAGATTTAGATGGAAACATGGCAAAACTCACAAACACGAGAATTCCACCAGACTTTTTTCTCAAAAAAATAAAGGTTGATTTTAAGGATGTTGAAGAAAGCCCAAGTCAGCACATTCCTCAAGAAACTTGGGAAGGCATCAGAAAAGTTGTCTTGTCAGAGGTCAACATTGAACCTGTCTTGTTGGAGATGGATGGAGTGAGTAAAGAACATAGAAAAGAAATTCATGAATGTGTGAAATGCCATTTTGGGAAAAAAATTATTTCATCAACTTTGGATAGGGAGGGTAAACGATTCATGCAATTCAAAAAATATAATAAAGAAGGTGAGTAATTGTATTCAAGATTAAATTACAACTTACAATCAAAGTATTACAGCTTAGTAATGCCTACTTATTACTGCTATTCAATACCCATATTCAACTGTACTCATGATGATTTCCAGATGAACAGGATACACGTTTACAATGGCCAGAAGACAAAGGTGAATATGTGCATTTCTTGGTCTACAAAGAGAACATGAATACTGCAGATGCTTGTTTTGAGCTCAGCCAGGCCTTAAAAATGAGCCCTTCAAAATTCAACCATGCTGGCAACAAGGACAGAAGATCTATATCTACACAGTGGTTCAGTGTCAAAAAAGTGATACCATGGAAATTGGCAAAAAGAACTGAACATATAATGAAATTGAAAATTGGGAATTATGCATTCAAAGATCATCCATTGAAACTTGGGCAATTGCAAGGTAATAAATGTGAAAATGTGTGCAGTCCTGAATAACCATTTTGATATTTTCCATCATACCTATATAACAAGATACCAAACTGTACCTATATCCCTGTAGAAACAATCAAGAAAAGAATGAAAAACTATATGTAGCTAATGAAATCCCCATTACCTACTGAATCTTTGAATTTAGGCTGCTTTGCATTCAGAGATTTTTTTATTTTACATAATATTACATTTCTTTTTCTTCTGCATTTTTGTTTATTCATTTTGTTCAGACAGATTCCTTTTGATAAGTGCTTTAGTGGATTTTTTTCTGAACATCTACTTAGTCATTTCTTCATACACATCAACTATTATCCCCTATTATTGTTATTAATATTATTATAAAACTATAATTAGTACTTTATGATGAATTTGTTCCAATATTTTGATGTACTAGATTACCTTATATTCTCTGGAATTGTTTCAAAAGTGTAAATACCTGTATTTTATACTATTCACAATGAAAAAGAGGACAACTCTCTAAGTTACTATATATTCTTCAAAGGTAACAAATTCAGGATAGCATTGAGGAATGTCACTGCAGATGACTCTATCTTAGAACAAGCTGTGAACCGACTGAAAGATAATGGTTTCATCAATTATTATGGCCTGCAGAGGTTTGGTAATGACAAAGAAGTGCCTACATTCAAAATTGGGTTAAGTCTTCTGCAAGGAAAATGGAAGGAGGTGGGTATTTCAAAAACTATTATGTTTCATTAACTGCATATAAAAAAATCCAAGGCCAAACTATGATTGATTTCAGGCAATCGATCTTATCCTGAAACCCAAAGCTTCTGATGATCCATCATCAGATCAAGCAGACCTTGTGAGAGCCAAACAAATCTATGCTGAGACTGGGAATGCAGCTGAAGCTTTTGAAGTTCTAGGTAAAAACAGAACACAAGACATTGAAGCAAAACTCCTGGAAGGTCTCAAAAAAGGTCATCAGAATGAGTATGTCAATGCCTTAGAAAATGTGAGTGAAACAGAGACAAAAAACACTGCCTCAATGAAATATCATATTTCTTTCATAAGTTTGAGGAATGTTTCAAAAATTCAAATAAACTGAATGGTTCCTGCTAGACATCCAATTTTTTTTAATATGAGCACTAATTTCACAAGTTTTATTGAAAGAAAAAATGATGTCTTCAGTCCCCATTAGAGGAAGAATACATTTCAACACCTTCCAACAACTTTCTTTTTGAATGCTACAATACTTTTTCCAGTTTTAAAATGTTAGCATGAAAGAAACAATAAAAAACTTAAAGATAAATAATAATAATCATGATGTTATGATCTTACAGGTTTTTTCAACAAAATATAATTGTTTCAACCAGGATAAATGTGATTTGATTCTCCACAGTTCTTATTGATATAATAATATGAACACAATATAAAAAATGACAATGTGGATACAAGAATCATCAAAAATACTATTCAATAATGAAATTGTGCAAACATAAAAAAATACGTTGAAAATTCGTTTTTTACTAATTTTTTTACTCATGACAATTAATTCTTCACATGATAGGCTGAGAGAAAAAGCTATCTTTCCTCCCTAGTGATAAAAACAAGGTTTTAGGTACCAAGATCCATGCGACTTCTTTACTTGCATGCATTCCAAAGCCTACTATGGAATCAGATGGTTTCAAAACGCATAAAAGTATTTGGCATGAAACCTGTGGAAGGAGATCTAGTGATAACGAATGAAGTTAGCATAGCAATAGAAGAAGATGATGATGAAGAATCATCTGAAAATGAAGGTTTTAAAATGATTAGATTGTTTCCTAGTGCTTGGGCAATACCTCATTTTTTCAATGAAAAGTTTTTATTATTTTAGGACCTCATGAAATCAAATGCAAGAAAGAAGTTAGAGCACTAAGTAGGGATGACTTACCAAATTATACTTTATATGATATTGCACTACCCTTACCTGGATATGACATAGTGTATCCAGATCACATGAAGCAGTATTACAAAGAAGCTTTGGAAGAATATGGTTTGAATTTAGAAATGACTAAACAAAAAGTGAAGTATGTGAAAACACTTAGCTCTGTTTATACAACTACTTTTGAAAATTTGTTCTCTCATTTCCCATAGGAAAAAAATCGAATTTATTTACATACATCAGAAATAGTACTGGCCTAGGAACAATTTCCGGTGGAAGTCCAGTGTGAAAAAAAACTGACTAGGTTCAAAACAGACATTGTTTTAAAATTCAGAACATTCCAGAGGAGTTGTCAAGTTCAAAAATTTATACATTCTTGTGCTGTAGTGTGAAGTAGGCTTCAAAAATTCAAAATTCATATCAAAATGCTTAACAAATTCCATAGTAATTTATTAGTAGACATTTTTGAAACCCAAAAAATCATGTAAAATGATCAAGATAAAGTAAGGTCAGTTCCTCCTCCTTCTTCTCTTAGGGTTTTTTTGGAGTTCTGTCTCCTTTTGGTAACAATTTCTCCAGATGAGGTAATCATTTTTGTTTCAAGAATAAATACTTGGTTATGTAATAATATTATCACTCGACTCGCCACATAAAACACCGATTGTCTATCACAATGCGGCCCATTATCATTGAGTCATCAGTGTTCATAATATTCGATCCTATGTACTCCTCTTATCCAGCAAATCCGTTGCTGATCCGGCCTGGCTACCGGCGTAGAGATAATGGAGCACGTTTGACTTCAAGTATGGCCCCCTTATCCGTTGAATCCGTCATCATCAGGCCTCTATACCGGCGTAGAGATAAATGAGCCTGATATTTCTCACACACACCTATTAAAATTTTGGACTTGCACACACATTAACCTGACTTTTGGCCTGCAGACGTTATGTTTATCTTACCGTGGCCAAAATGTCAGTTCCATTTCTGCCAAAAAGCAACAATCGAAAAATATGAAATTCCTCTTCTTTGGTCTCCCAAGAATACAAAAAAAATAAAAGCCATCTGGAATAATGAGCTCATATAGTTTTTGAACAACTAAAAGATTAACTGAAGCTTTTTGAATATGTTCTTTTGGGACTCCTTCATGAAATATAAATTCTAGGACATATTCACTATGTGGAGACTATCGAAAAATACTGGAGAGAGTGAAAGACTTTTCCTGGAAAGTCATGAAATACAATCATCCCAATGATCCCCTCATTAGATCAGATTTTGAAGAATTGAAGGGCTACGAAGAACGTCAAAGTAAAGAAGGTAAGTAGGTACCTATTATTTTCATGGGATGATTATCTTGAAATATTTTCTTAGAAAATATTGCATTCAATTGGAGGGTTGAGAATTTTTCAAAACATGCATCCAATCTTACTTTCAGTTTGAATGACAAGTTTTATGGATGGGTCATATTACTTCTCATTTTATAGTATTTTATATGTCTTGCAAGATGTCTTGTACACCCCTGCGGTGAAAATGAATTCTCGCTCTCATTGGTTGTTGAAAAATATGTGACTTGGTCAGCTTATCAGTAGATCACCTCATGATGGGGAACAAATTCTTATGATTGAAAAAGTATTTGTTGTGATTTTGAATATAAAATGACTGCATCAAATTGCTATTTATACGTGAAAAGATGAATATTATGTGGTGTAAATTAGACCATAAGTACATTTTGAACCCCCACCCAACTTTTTCATGTACCTAGCTATCATTCCATTTTCACAAAAGGAAAGTTCTGGAGATTTTATATATTTTAACAGAAAAACAGTTGAACATCTCAAAAACTTCTTATGGGCAACATTTATCAATTTTCAAATAGGACACCCTGTATTTCATTGCATTTTTAGATTCTACCTGAAGAGCTGATTTCATCGATCTCTAGCTGAAATGATTACAGAGATATAGGGAGTAAAAAATGTTTTCACCTTTTGAAATTTTTTGTGTTGAAACTATTCATTATTGGCCAAAATTGTTTTCATGACCGTATCTTAACTTTTTGATTTACTATCTACTGATGTTTAATTGTAATAAATACAGGGTAGTGAACAGTTCAGAATTCTGATGACCCTGTAAACATTCCTAAATAGAAAAAAATATCAATTTTTCACACCCTATTATCGATACAAAATAAGCGTACGCCACCTATCGGAGTCTTTGAAAGCTGTCAAAGCGGTCTGTTTACCTTGTTTGCATTGGTCCACATTTGTGTTTTTCTTGTGTTTATCGGTCAAATCCATAAAAAAACCGCTCAAATGTAATCAAGTTGTTGCCGTCATGTGGAGCGATGCGTTATTCTATCTTGAATATCTCTGTAATCATTCAAACTACGCCCCAAGTGTGATCGATGAAATTAGCTCTCCAGGGAGAATCTGAAAATGCAATAACATACAGGGTGTCAGTGCCAGCCTGGCCCGGTGAGGTGGTGAGAAAAATCTCACGCTTTCTTCAACAGGACAGTATGCATTCAGCCATGTTGGCTGCTCAAAAAATGTTACAAAATGTAATCCACCATTTACCTAAGTTTGAGAAACGAATTTCAATATGTTTGTACAATAATTAGCATGTTTACACTACCTAACAGGACGAAAGATATTTTTATGGAGAATTTCTTGGCAACCTGAGGAGTATGCACTAATGATGGCTTTATAGCCGAAAGCGTTGTGCTTTGATATTCCGAATAAACAATTTTACAAGTAATAGGTATAGTTTATCCAAAAACATTTGCAGAATCTTGTGCCGCAGCTGCAGTCACTTCAAAGAAAACTTCAAACACGCCGACGCCGCACAGTGCGGGATATTCTGCAATTGATATTGGATATACTTTACAAGATTTCCACAATTATTATTTTCATGTTTTTCATCTATATTTTAAATGTGTTCTCTTGATATAACATAACTGATTTTTCTCCATTAATGTATATTTTACAATATTATTTAAAATGTAGGCTAGCTTGATGATGACCTTGAACACCAATAAATCTATATCTATCATTTGCACCATACTGTATGCGCTTTAACATAGGTACTATCGGTCTTTCCCGTTTTCCAAATGGTAAGCAACCGGATCACCCTGTAGATGTTTCTCTATTCTAGATGGACAGTACAAGGCACTCGTTCTCGAATTCAGTCTGTCTCCATCTGGATACGCTACTATGGCCATTCGAGACATGATGAAAACGAACACGTCCAGTTCTGCGAATACGAAACTGAACGACTACCACGAAAAGAAGGTGGAAAAGCAGAATCATGCGTCGAAAATGGACAAAATGGAAAAGGAGGTCATAGGGAATGAAGAAGAAGAGGTAGGTAGAAGTTGGAAGTATTCAGAATGATTTGTTTGGCCGTTGGGCGCCATTAGATAAAATCGGACTTTGGGTTCATTATTTTTCAATGAAGAAAAAATTTATTGGTGAATTTTCACAAAGGATAGTCACTTTCAGGGTTTATGTGACAGTTTCCTTCATTTCGGAAGGTATGAACAATATATCCACATTAAAATTCGAAAAAAAGAAGTGCTATGAAACAGACTGAAAAGCGGAGAATTTTTTAGGTCTTAAATAAAATGTTTGCGTTTTTTGATTTATGAGGATTCCAAATGATTGAGTTTCGTTTCTTCATTTTCTATTTGTACAATTTCGAAATTGTCATAAAAACTATGATTCTCTTCTAATTTATTGATAATTTTTGTTGAACGTCTTTCCTTTTTTGAAAAACTCATACGATGTTCATGAATGCGGCGGTCAAACGTTCTACCTGTCTGACCAATATATTATGCCTTAGGACAAGATCCACAGTTTAGTTTTTATACTCCTGATTTTTCGAATTCATAAGTTCTGTCTTTATTATTCTCTATAAACCTTTCAACCTGTTAGTTGTTCTAGTTTGCAAGTAATGTATATGTAGAAATGCAGGTAGGTAATAGGTCGCGTGCACGATGACCGACCCTGGAGGTAAAATATTGAAACATAACCTCACTCTTCTGTGAAACAGTGAAACACAACCTCACTTTTTTGATTATTAACAGAGGAATCAAAGGATTGAGATAGATTTTCACAATATTTTGGCATACGAATCGTGTTTTTTGCGCTATTCATTAATTCAAGCATGCCTTCTCATTGTGCTGTTGTACAATGCACAAAAAATGCATGTTAAAATTCCTTCTGCCATTTCTGCAATAGATGCTAATACTGCTATTGGATTGGAAATGGCTACAACACACACGATCATATTTCGTCAGAATGACAGACCAGTCCTCCCGTTTGATTGCATGAATCCAATCTTCTTGTATGATTTTAGAAATTTCACGAGTTTTTGTATGAGTTCCTATTGCAGAGAGAATTCCGATGAGAAATCAGAGGAATTAACAAATTTAGAAAATGAAAACTATATGTGAGTGACTATAGTAGGTACTTACTTTGAAATCATAATGTACCAACCGGATTCCTTCGTCTCCCGCTGCATTTTTTGTGCATTGTACAACATCACAATATGATGGCATATATGAATTGTGTTTTTCGGCTATAAACACGATTTATATATATGCCAAAATAATTGTGAAAAACTATTTCAATCCCTTGTAAACAAATAAGAAAAGTGAGGTTGTGTTTCGATGTTTCACCTCCAGGGTCGGTCATCTGACAGTTCTTGCACACAACCCATTCTTCTGTTGATGATCTGAAATAGGTTAAGTCTTCAATTTTGATTATTGATTTCGGAAGCAATCCAAAAGTTTATCCTACCATCAGAAGCAGTGATCAAAATCATAGGACTTGAACTTTAAACAATATCTTTATCTCTACATAAACAAGTCTTGAGAGTTGCTGATGTAAAATATTCATCAATTTAATAAATAATGTTTTTTTTTGGTGGAATGATTTAATATTGATTTATAGATTCTCAATTTTTTATATAGGTACTATAAATAACTAATAGGGCCTACACTGTATAATAAATGTTTTATTTACTGATATGTGGACTCATTTCTGATTATTTTTTTAGGTGGAAAAGGCCCCTGCTAATAGCCTGTTGGCAGACCCTCAAAAGTACGAGGAATTCAAAAACAGCTTGTTCAGCAATTTGGGCCAGCCGGAAAAACGCAGTAACGAAGAAGCTGATCCACAAGAAGTTAACAAAAAACAGAAGACTGACGAAGAAGTCTCGATCAAGTCTGCGGCGTCTTTGATTTGATGCTGAATCATTGATTATGTGATCAACTTTTGTCTTGGCAAAGATGAATTGCTCGTTTTTTTTACCTTATACTGGGCTCGTTTCTTGGAATAGAGCCCCTTCCCTCTTGACTTGTTTGTGTTTTTATATAAGTATGAATGAATGTTGAATAAAAAAGTTTGTTGAAACAATTCATATTTTTATTTCGTTATGGTGTTTGAAACAGTATGGAAAAGTTATATATTTTGATCATACTAACAAAAACAGAATCATCTTCTTTAGTTCATCAAAGTTGATGAATCTTATTCAATTATTCTTATAATATAAGAGTGGGAAAAATTTCGAAACTTCAAAATCAATTTCTAATATTTATGACATTTTTTGCTCAACTTTGATCTTTGATTAACAGAATCCAAATAATTTGGCAACCCATTTATATTTTCAAAAAGAGGCTCTATCTACCTGATACAAATATAGTAAATAATTCTGGGTTTCTTGAAAATAAAAATAAAAGATTCTGTATTTACTTTGCTTGAACATAAACGAGGGAAGTCACAGAAATGCATGAAGCATTTCAGAACTAACAAACTGTATATTATTATGCTCTTCATATTGTAAAATTATCATCAAAATCGTTATGATTTTGAGCAAAACCAACTAGATATGCCTTTTTGTCGTTATATCCTGTCTATTCATCTCATTGAAATAGTTTGAACTAGGTAGATATTTTTTTAATGGTGAAGAAAAGCGATTGGAAATACTTGAAAATTGATTAAATTGGTAACAAAATTCATTACCTGAATCTTCACAATATTTTTGAGCTTTTTATCCATACAGAAATAGATCTGGATCAGTACACAGGAATGGGCACCTATAAGAAGTTGTCTTTATATGAAAAACTATATATTAAATTTAAATTAACTGAGTTATTCGTAAAAATCGTATCTCTGTAGATAGAAGATCATTGTAATACACGAAATCACTTGAGCGTAGGAATATACAGCATGATCGAATAAAAAGTTCCATGTATTGATAAATTTTTTCATATATAATGCCTATATATATTATACCTGAGTATTAGTGAGTATCTAAACATTTTCGAAATATGAATGGAAATGTTCAAGACTTATAGACGATTGCATAGAAAATGGAAATTTCAAAACTATTTTAACTGGTCGACTATTATCTATATGATTCGAGTAATTCTACACAACAATAAAAAAAGGCAGTTTGTACAAAGATTTGCTAACCTAAACGTCGAAATCAGGACGTTCAAGTCACGACTATACATATTTTTCCTAGAAAATTCTCAGTTCAGAAAAATTAAATTTTGTCTCACTTATATTTCTCATGGAAGCACCCTATATAGTATCTCACGTAATTATTGAGGTAGGATTCTGAAATTTGCAGGAGAAAGCGAAATAAAAGGGACGTCTTGATTTTGAATCCGAAGTGATTTTCAACCTATCTTGCCTCCTCATATCATTTTTGTGGATGGTTCCATGGCTGTTTGCGAGCAGTGTATATCACTGGAGACGACTCCACTTGGTCATAGTGTGTATTTTCAGTATACCTACCGCTCTTGCAAATTTCAGAATCCTAACTCAACAATTACGAAAGATACAGGGGTACTTCCATTAGAAGTGAGACACACTGTATAATGTTCATCTTGAGTCAATTCTGATATTTATATCTCTTCATCTGAAGTACCCAGACAGCACCAGATATTCCATGAATCTCCCTATCATATTCCTTTTGGAATATTGGAATATTCTAGAAATAATCTGGAATATTCCGGAATATCTGTGGAATATTCTCTAAATATGCGAATGGGAATTCCTCAGATAATCATAGAATATACCCAAAAGAATATTCTTTGTTGAATGTTCCTGGAATATTCCAATAAACATATTCTAAAATAAAAAAAGTGACCCAAGTAGGGATCGAACTCGTGACCTCAAGACTACCAGAGCAACGCCTTGACCACTAGGCCAGTAATCGAATTGAATAATGTTATACATATCAAGTTCTTGTGAGAGCATTGTTCGAAATCGGGTCATAAACACTTTTTGTTTCAAAATCCCCTTACATCTAATTGATGTTCGATGCTCACATCTCTGAAATAATAAATGGTATTTATGTGTTGAGAAACATAGGAATATTCATGGAATATTTCATGAATATACACCACAGAATATTCAGTTGAGAATATTTCATGAATATACCGCACAGAATATTCAGTTGGGTATATTTCATGAATATACCGCACAGAATATTCAGTTGGGTATATTTCATGAATATACAACAGAGAATATTCAGTTGGGAATATTCCTGGAAGATTCATACCTGAATATTCCCTGAACATGTCCGAATATTCACTTTGGAATATTCCTTTTAGATGTTCCAGAGGCATGTATATATTCTAGGAATAATCGATGAATATTCGGAATATACTCCTCCTTTTTAGCATATTTAGAGAATATTCTATGAATATCCAGTGCTGTCTGGGGTAAGCTTCAAAATGAGCCTGAGATTTATGAATTCGGTTGACGAGGAAACAAGTTATGACTACAAAACCAATAAGTTAATTTTTTGAGATCACTCTGTAAATAAAAGAGATAAGGATACAATTCGAGAACTGTTTCAAGATAATGAGATCATCTACATGCCTCTTCTGTCAAAGTTGGAGAAAAAAGTTCTTCTTCATTTGGGATACTTTTGAAATTTCCGAAATTTTGAATAGTTTATTCAGGTAACACCCTATAGCGATTTTATTTGAAAAACCTTATGTGTGAAGTATCACGAGATTATAGCTGAAGGACTGGGCTAGCGAACAGTGTGATCCGAAATCAAATCGTTCAAAGCAGAAAAAAGTTATTCATATTTCAACAGAGGCAAAATTTTGCGGTGCGACGAAATTAGTGTTGCGTTGTTTAGATTCAGAAGAAGAATTCCCCAAAACGTTACTCCAACTTCAAAGTTACACTGACAATATGATTTGACAATATCTTTCAATCTGATGACAAATTCAGAATTTAGTGTCTAGCAGGCGATCCAAACTTGTTACGCGTTTCCTTGGAGTTGTCCAAATAGTTTTGTGTTGTCAGTGGCATAAGATTGCGAAGAGAAAAATACATCAATTTGTCCAGGAAAAACTGAAAAATTCTATACGGGTATGTATTGAACGATTTTATATATTCCGATACTTTAGCTCTAGGTCGCTTTAGCTCTCTGTGAAATTGCTAGCGAAGCGATTCTATCAATAGTTAGGAAAAACCAGGACTGCCTTCCAAAAAATTGTTAAATTCTCAAATTAGAGGTTGAATCCGGTATTTTTTTATCCATTGAGTTTATATCCAGCATTATTGGAAATGGGTTCCAAAATGTCAGTTGGACTTAGCGAGGAATTCTTCAAGAGTAAACTAAAATCGGTGTGAATATTCGCGAATACTGTGTGTGTCATGAAACACGAAACTTCCGGGGTTAGGTATGCTCTGCTCTCGATTTATTTTTTTAATTAACAATTATGATTGCTAAAATATACATATTATAATAATTTTTACTGCGCATTCCCCGTCTGTTTTAATGAATTTTTGGCGATAACCAATGTAAATAGAGGATCGAAAGGCCTTCAAAACAAGGTATCACGTGACCCCTCTTTATATTTGAGAAACGAAAGTTGACGGTGCCCACTTGATACTATAGGTCACGTGACCACAACCATTCTCATGCCAAATAGTATTGAAGGAGGTACAGGGTGATTGACTATGGATTTCTCGACTTCAACAGCTGATATCTCGAAAACGAAAAAAGATATTTGAAATTTGGAAAAAGTTACTTGAATGAGATGTCATTTCCTTCTGGAAAATGTGTTCTCTGCTTGATTTTATCATTTCATATACAGGGTATGTGAAAAAAAATTTTTTTTTCAAATGGAACCCCCTGTATATTATCGCATAATTCGAAAGAGCTATCTTTCCTGATTTCAAAGATATATACTTTTCATATATTCTATCGAGGGCTTGACGAAATATCAGCAAAATTAAATATTAATATTTGGTCCAAGTTAGCTATGGTTGAAATAGAATGAAATGATGAATAAGTGAATTGACATTTGGCCAACATTCCAGTGACATAAGTGCGCAAAATTTCGACAATTTTCTCACGATGCCATATCCACTGGAACAAAGAAGAAATATTTTGGAGTGCTATTTTTCAGTTAATAAAAATCTTGCTGAAACACACTTATACTTACTTATATTTAATCATTCAGATATGACAAGACAAAATTCAATCCGCTTCTCATTATCATCATTATTGAGTTTGTGGCATGGTCTAATTCTGAAATCCATATATTTATATTTCTTTAAGGTATGTTGAACAAAATAATAGCTGAAACCAAACTCTCTCACTGCATTTCTTATTGACCGTGAAGGATCCTCAACAAAATACTGGATTACAAGAAGTTCCTCGTCTTCGTTGTCTTGCCTTCAAACTATTCTCTTGATATTCGACAAACTGGAAGTTTTGTCAAATTTAGCAGCCAAATACTTTACATAATTCTTACTTGGGAATCTCCTGCCTGGATAACTCCTCATAAACTTATGAAGTGTTTCAGCAAGATTTTTATTAACTGAAAAATAGCACTCCAAAATATCTCTTCTTTGTTTCAGTGGATATGGCATCGTGAAAAAATTATCGAAATTTTGCGCACTTATGTCACTGAAATGTTGACCAAATGTCAATTCACTTAGTCTTCATCTCATTCTATTTCAACCATAGCTAACTTGGACCAAATATTAATATTTAAATTTGCTGATATTTCGTCAAGCACTCGATAGAATATATGAAAAGTATATATCTTTGAATTCAGGAAATATAGCTCTTTCGAAATATGCGATAATATACAGGGGGTTCCATTTGAAAAAAAAAAATTTTTTCACATACCCTGTATATGAAATGATAAAATCAAGCAGAGAACACATTTTCCAGAAGGAAATGACATCTCATTCAAGTAACTT